GAAGAAAGTGGGGAGCTGCTGCCTCCAGGCAGGGGAGGCACAGCTCGAGACAGCCCTGTGCTGCACAGGGCCCCAAGCAGACTCTACACTCTGGCCCCAGCTCTGCCGCTTGCTGTGGAGTCTGTGAGGGTCACACACGGCACCTTCTTCCAGGGCCACTATGAGGATTCAAGGGGTCACAGCATACAAAAGGGCTCAGGTCACCTCGCCTGTAGTAGGCAGATCTCAAAGAGTTTAGCTGGGTCTTGTACCGCTGTTTCCACATAGGTATGTCTACCCTGAAAACCAGTGCCATGCAACACCCGGCTATTAACAGTATGAGGGACCTCCTTGGTGGCGCAACGGGTTAAAGCACAGCACTGTAAGGGGCCACGTGGGTGTGAGTTTGATCCTGCCCGGAGGTGACCCATGTGGCGCGGCAGACCTCTCCTAGGAGTCTTGCCCGCTGCTCCCCTCAGCAGTGTGCTTCATCAATCTGTCTGTCCTACTCCTCACTCTGTCTCTGGTGAATCTTCTCACCGCCCCTGCACCTCTGGCCTGTACCTCAGTTTTGTATGCTTAAAGAAAGCTTAAAAAAATCAGTATGATGAGGCAGAGAATGCCTTCAGAAGTATCTCAGTTCTTCTCTACCAGACAGCATTATTAATTCGATTTGGGGACAGCTTAGTTTATAAGTCCTTCCTGAAATGGTGTCTCTAAAATGGCCCCAACAAAGTACCCTGACTCAAGTCAGGGGAAAGAAAAAGCAAAACCCTGGGAGAATCTGAGAATCAAACCCAAAGCAGTCTGCTGCAACTGAACTATTGTCTTCAAGTTTCCTGTTTTAGCTTAAATTCACACGAACTTTGCATTCTATCTACAGTAGATCCAGAACTATTTTAATGTGAAAATGTTTAAAACTGAGTAAGATGGGCCTCCCTGGGGGCACTAGGGATTAAGTATCAGCACTATGAAGCTATCAGCAGCCGTTGCAGCATGAGTTCAATCCCCAGCCAGGGAGGTGACCCACATGGCACAGCAGACCTCTCCTGTCTCACTGGCTGCTCCCCTCAGCTGTGCATTTCAGTAGATCTGCCTGTTCTGCTCCCCACTCTTTCTCTGATGAGTCCTCTCACCCCTACACCTTTGGCCTGTACCTCAGTTCTTGTATGCATAAATAAATATATCTTTAAAATACAAAAAAAAAAAAAAGTGAGCAAGATGGAAGGGCCCAGGAGATGCAAAGGCCTCTCTCTGGCTCTGTGGGCCCGCTGTACACAACACCAACAGGTCAGAAACCCCAGCAGGGTGGGGAAGCCCAGCAGAACAGCCATGGCTTAGCGGTCTGTACAATGGGAATACCCACATCAACTGTTCAGCAGCTATAAGACAAGACAACATGTGACACCATTAAGCAAAGCACCACGCTTCACAGTGACACATAGTATGGGTGTTGAATCAGAACTCTAAGGGAGGAGGGCCTTCCTGGTGGTGCAAGGGTTTAGGTCTCAGCACTATGAAACTACTCAGCATGAGTTCGCTCTCCAGCCAGGGAGCTGACACACATGGCAAGGCAGATGTCTCCTGTCTCACCTGCTGCTCCCCTCAGCAGTTTATTTCAGTAGATCTGATGTTCTGCTCTCCACTCTGTCTCTGGTGAATCCTCTCACCTCCCACACCTTTGGCCTGTATCCCAGTTCTTGTATGCATAAATAAATAAACAAACCCTTTTTTCTAAGAGTTTTTTAAAGATTTATTTATGCACACAGAATGGGGTATAGGCCAGAGGTGCAGGGGTAGGTGGTGAGAGGATTCACCAGAGTCAGAATGGAGAGCAGAATAGGCTGACTGACTAAAATATACACTGTTGAGGGGAGCAGCAGGTGCGTCAGTAGAGGTCTGCCACGCCCTGTGTGTCACCCACCCTGGCCAGGGATCGAACTCATGCTGCAGTGGCTGCGATGACTTCATGGGCAGCACCTTAACCCATTGTGCCACCAGGGAGGGCCAAAAAAAAATGTAAGGGAGGAATTCCGTGATACCTCTCCCAAATGCCATGGACCCACAAAATTTCTGTACTCGGGAATGGACTCACACTTTCACCCTTTGCTCCTAATCCTGCAATATATTTTATATCCCCATTGGAAGAAAGAGAGGCTCAGGAGGTCAAGTTCTAAGCCCAAGGCCATACAACTTAAAACGGGGGAATCAGGTCTGGATGATTCTAATGTCCTAGGGCCTTCCAGCCCACCACATTACTGTTCTCTTTACCTCAGAGAAAGAAAGGTCTTTCTAAGAAGTGCTTGGTGGGGCTGAATTTAAATGTGACCTTGCTCTGTTTCCCTGTAAATTCTACTGAAAAGAGCTCCTGGTGGTGAGTCACATTCTTCCCACCTGCAAGCAAGAGGCAGCACCAAAGCAGAGTCAGGGGCTAAGCAGAGGTGAGCCCCACTGGTTCACTATACCGTTAGCCTGCTCCGAGGGACCCCTGAGTCCAGTCACTTTTACTTTCATTTTCTAGCCATCATGACTCTTAGGCTCCCAAGAAATAAGTGGCATGAGATGTCAGCAAGCTCTCAGGCCCTCCAGAGCACAGTCACAGCTGCATGGGCCCCCCAGGCAGAGGAGAAGGGGACCAAGAAGGAGGGCAGGAGGGTGAGTAAGGGATGGGGAGGAGGAAGGAAGCAGAGTGGAGGAGGCTGGCGGGTCTGCACTTGGCGTGAGCTTGCCCACCACTGAGTCCACTCTTTTTACGAACTGCCAAAGGGCCACTCGCACGGAAGGTGAGGTGCATCTTGTCCCAATCTTGAGCTCTAAAACCCTTCTCTCTGCCACTTTCCATGTGACCTACAGTAAGTTGTTTAATTTCCTTCAGCAGCATCTCTTTAAGATGGTTTCTGAAAATCAGTTGTTAACTACCCCCTTTTGTATCAAAGTAGGATAAAGGCCAACTAGCTTTTAAGCAGCAGGAGAGGAGACGAGTGGGCCAGAGAGGAAGGGTTTTTGCCCCCCACAAGAGCCTCCCTCTTTCTGCCCAGAGGCGTTAGATCTCTCCTCAGACTCTATAACTCAATGCCAGAAGGGGCTGCCTAGCCACCTGGTGCACGGGCGCCTTCTCGGCTCCCTGGGAGAGCTTCTTTAAAAGTGTTTCAGAATCAGAGCCAGGAGAGCATGTCCAGACAAGGAAGGCCCCTTCTGAAGACTGGTCACCCCAAAAGCTCCAGATCCATGGCTTACTTCTGAGGAAGTAAGTTTGTTCACACCAATAGCCAAATGAGCAGGTGGCCTCTCTGGCCCTGCCCCTCCGAGGCACAGGCTGACCAGGTTAGAGAAACTACATTGGTGTAGAAGACTCCAACACCCTCCAAAGACACCCATACAGAGAATTTGAGCTCCAGTTATTGAAGGAAGGCTTTTTTTGTTGTCCAGTAAGAAGTGAAATAACTGCACCGCCAGGTCTAGCTCAAGACTGTAGGAAACGATCACTGATGGCTGTCCAGAAGTCAAAAAGCTCTCAAGACAAAAAAAAAAAAATCTTTAGTACTTGCAAATAGCATCCAAGGGCAGTGAAGGTGCCCAGAATACTGAGCCACAGAAACACCAAAGATGGCACTGTCTTCCTTTCCTCCACTGGAGATTGCAAGGGTCAGTCATGGCCTCAGAGTCAGGTTGCCCTCATTAAAGTACATTCTCTGGCTTGTACTTTGGCCACATAACAAAGAGCCTCCCAACTTAGTCTGACACAGCAGCCATTTCACACATTTAAGTCCCAGGCAACAGACAAGGATCATATATCAGTACAGGTAGTCTCTTGGGATGTCTGGAAGGAACTAGCATTTTCTGGCACATATGGGAATTCCCTGGGCTACCAAGATTAGCCCATTAAGAATACAGAGGTACCATTATGATCTCAACTTATTTCTCTACTACCCACAATTGATCCAAGTCTAAAAGGGAATGGAGATCGGCCCTGATACCAGAAGGGAAGAGGACCTGTTGCTCAGGGTGGCGGTGTGTGTGTGTGCGCGTGCACGCGTGCACTCTTTGGGGTGGGAAAGGGACGGTCTAGGACCCTTCAACTCCAGACTCCTCGTTCCCAATCTGTTCCTCCTCCCCACCGGCCAGAAGGCAGCAGTCCCAGGAGGAGCAGTCCCTCAGTGGCAGCTTGGGAAACACTCACGTGTTCAGGGAGGACAGTGCTGAGCCTGGAGCAAGGGGGGAGGAGGAGGAGAGACAGAAGATAATGAATGGGCAGATCCACCCAGATCTGTGATCTGTAGCTAGGATTAAGCAAACCTCAGCTAAATTCTTGAGCGGCAGGAAGAGAGATACTCAGAACAACACAACTAAAGAGCAACATAACTGGAGGACAGGATTGGGGGCAGAGGGGCTGAGGCAAGGAGAAAAACAGCTCATTCCTAAAAAGTAACCCAAACTCTGCTGAGATCCTGTTGGCTCTCTGGCTTGAGAAAGAGAGGAAGTAGGTAGGAGTTGTGGGAGCGTGCAGTGTGCAACGGTCTCGCTTAGGACCCCCCACTCCTCCCCCCAAAAAGAACCAAGGTAAAATTCCTCTAGAGCTGGAGGCACAAGTGTTTGTGTGTGCGTGTGCGTGTGCGTGTGTGTGTGTGTGTGTGTGGGACAGGGGCAGGGTGAGGAAAAATGACGACCGACAACACTCCTCGCCACCTCTGAAAGGAAAAGGAGACAGGTTTCTTTGCACCAGCCAGAGACTCCTCCAATTCTAGGAGCAGAGGGAGCGGAACTTGGGGTCTCTCCCTCCTCCAATTGAACTGGACAGGTCACAGGACAGCCCGGGGGATAACCCAAAGCTCACGAAAGGCAGGGAAGAGAAGCGAAGAAGGGACCCCCTGCGGCCCGACGTCTGGGACGCCCCTTAAGAGGGGGCTACGGATCGGGGGAGGGGTCAGTATCCCCCGAAGCCGGGGTTGGGCGGGAGGAAGGCCTGCCCCGAAAAGGACTTAACGCGAGCGGGACACGGATCCCGGGACAAGGACACTCACGGCGGCTCCGGGGCGGCGGCGTTACTTAGGGCCCGGGCTCGGACAGGTTCCGATCCTCTCCCCCCGGCTGTGTCCCAGGCTCGGGCCTCCACTTCCGCCTTTCAGCCGCTCCGGATCCGGATCTCCAACCTGTGACCCGCCCCTCAATGCTCCCAGGTGACTGGCAGGGAAGAGAGGCCAATGGGAGGCACTCCTGGATGACTCACAAGCAACGCGAGTCGGGGACGCCGCAGAAGCGGCCGAGCGCGCGCGGGGGACGGCGGGACTTGTAGTTCTTGGTGCTGGGAGGAGCCGGCGGCCGCCTGGGACTTGGGGTTAGGGTGGAGTCCGCTGCTGGCTGGGCGGAGCCCAGCCGGGAACTTTAAGGGCAGGCGTGCCGACCGCGTCACGGCTGGTTGCAGGCGCCCTGAGGGGAGGCGGGCGGCTGAGCGCTGGAAGAGGGCAGAAGGCTGTGCGTGCAGAATTGGGAAAGGAAAAACATGGTGCACTTGAGGCCGCGTCGACCAGTCCTGTGACTCGGTAACCGGAGCTGCCATCTGCACATTGGAGCCAAATTAGCTCTGGAAGCCGAACAGTTGGGGAGACCCCGTGATGGGGAGGTGGCAGAAGCTTCTTAGGCCAGTGGGTGAGATCAAAGGAAGCGCTCCAGCCACACTGCCCAGCCGTAAATCAGCAGCACCGCCGCCGCTGCCTCCCCTCTCCCCACGTCCAGAACCAGCGCTGGCCTCTGATCCAAGTGCAGCACTGGACCATTTCTGTTTCATCTTTCCACATCCATACATAGACAGCAGAACTTTCTGTTTGCCCCCACCTTATCCCCAACCCCCCTGAGCTGAGCTTTATTCAGTCCCAGCTACAGTTCACCGTGGATCTGCCCCCTAAGTGTCAGGATTGTTTTTATTTTTTCTGTGTGAGCCCTTAATGTGGATTAGAGCCACAACTGCTTTTGCCCAATCCCTATCCCTCCACACAAACCCCTCTGCATCTGCATCCCATCCCCAGAGACACTACTCAACCCCTATGGAATCAAGCTCACCCAGAAACAGCTGTGGGCATTGTTCCTACTAGACACCAGCCAACACCAGTCATACTCAAGCCTGAGGTGAGCTATCTGGAATAACCTGCCACAGAGCTGTCCACGCCTGCTTCTATCTGGTCACCAGGCTGGCTCTTTCCAGCAACATTCATAACATCCTCCAGCCACCCTTCCCCTTCCTCCCCCTCCCCCTCACTGAAGATCAGAGAAGTGAAAGCTAGGAAGACTCAGGAGAGCAGAGAGGATGGCACAGATTGGGGTTCCTAGTATGTTTTTGTGGGTGACAAACTTTCCCCCAAACACTGCTATGTTGCCTGCAACAGATACAGAATCTGTTACACAGGATTGGTAGGGTGTCCTGTGGGTCACCTTTCCAGAGCTGGAGATGGGCCTGGGCCAGGGCTCTGTTCCTCTTATGCAGTGTCTGAATCTATGGGGTAGGGGAGGGGGGATATAACAGGCCCACAGTGACTCATTAAGGTTTCTGCCTCCCCCCAGGGCCTCTGGTGGCGTGCATGTGGTGCCAGGTGGATTGGTTGGCGCCTCTGCCCTTCCTAGAGACAGCAATAGGGCCCTGGGGTACAGTGCAGGAGTGACTGCCACGTAGGCTCCTCCAAAGCCCTGGGGTTCTCAGACCAACCCCCAGAAACAAAGCCAGGGCCAACAACTACAAAAAATAAAGCATTTATTTCCTATCCAAAAGTGAGTCCAGAGTGTTGGGTGGTAAAGGAGAGCTGGAGACCAGGGCGAGTGTGCAAGGAGTCAGGGCCCTGAGGGAGACCACGTTGGAAAGTGGAGAGAACAGGCTGAGGTCTGGGGGTGTGGGAAGGATCGGGGGTGATACTGGGACTGTTTCAAGTTGCTGGCAACAGAAGAGACCACCTTCAATGACAGCCTGCAGAGAGAGAGAAAGACATGTTGACGGGCCCACAGGTGGAAACAGACATGGCCCCCAAATCACCCGCTAGGGCGCGGACACCTGGGAGCACCCTCGAAGGCAGGGATTGCAGACTCAAATGCCCACAGAGACCAGAGAAAGAACTCAAATGAGGGCAGCTAGCTGGACACCAAAGATCAAGAAACCCTGGATTGGGAAGAAGTGGGGGGTAGGACCCACCTAGAGAGCAGAGTTGCCACCTGACACCAGCTGCTGGCAGGTGAAACATTGGCCCATGGTCACCAGCTCTCCCAATTTTTAAAGAAAAACTGCAATCTGTGGACTTTTATGTTAACTCTTCTGTTGGCAACTAATTCATAGGTTGAAAAAATACAGTGAGAACCCAAAGAATCGATGGGTTGCTCAAATGCCAACCCAAGACTTCAAACCTCAAACCTGCCCCTCTGGCGGTGACAGTGCTCCTGAGGGCTCTGGCAGGGGCCCGGGACACAAACTCGAAGGTCACCAAGCTGTCTGCAGTGTGGAATCTGCCACTTGTCCCTCTTGCTATAGACCCCAAGTTCTGCCTGCTCTTGCCTCTGCCACCTTCACTTCCTTCGTGGATCTGGGACCCCTTCCTTCCCTCCCCTCCTTCTCACCCATCTGTACCTGCCTCCAGGTCCTGGGTAGAAAGCAGGACATCTCATCTGCCCAGCCTGAGGGGCGCTGCGTTCAGTCTCATGCCTGTTGGATTCCACGGCCTCAAGTGGCTCTCCTCACAGAGGAGGACGGGGGAGGTTTGGAGAAGGGACAGTGTCAGAAGTGACCAGGCTTTGTTAAAAAGTCCAGAGAATCCAGAGCCAACCAGACCAGCTGATGGCTGCTGACCGGAGGCAGGAGGCCCAGGGGCCCGGCCCCTCCCAGGGTGGCAGGCGGCAATGTCCACCTGAGACAGGCCTGGGCCCAGGGCCAGGGTCAGTGGAATGTGTCAGACCTGGACCGAAAGCTGTGCCTCATGCAGCTTGGGGTTGAGGGTGAGGCCTCTGGCACTGGGGAGGGCCCCGGAGGGTCAGGCTCTGAGGGGTAGGGGGACAGCATGGAGGGTCTCAGATCAGGGGGGGCAGCCCCCATCTCTACTGTCCCCACACCAGCTGGGCAGTGGACCTCAGCGAGAGTAGTATCCTGGAGGGCAGGTGGTGGTCTGGACAGACAGGGAGGCATCCCTGGAGGCCTCTGCTGGGGGCACGGAGGGTGCGGGGGCCAAGATGAGGCTGTGTGGCCTGGGGGCCCCAGCCTGGCCTGCAGCAGGCCCATCATGTGTCGAAGCTCCCGGCTCAGCTGAGATACTTCCTGGTTGAGACGGGAGATCTGGTGGAAACACATCAAATTGTTCCCCGTGCCATGAGGACTGTCAAGTAGGCTCAGCCCTCTCTACAGTTTACAAACTTTGCACACCACTGCGCATGGGCGCCTGAGAAGCAGGCAGGGGAGGGCTTGTTTTCTGTCTAGCTGCAAATACCCAACCTTGGGTACCCAAGACAGACTTGGTATCGGGAGCTAAACACACTCTCCCACCCCCACCCCATCCTTTATGAGGTCCAGCAAATGCTGGCCCAGGCTCTCAGGGAGGAGGCAGCCTCACTCCCAGGTGGTCCCCTTGTGCATGACCAAGTGTCCACCCGGTGCCTTTCAAATTGTCAGAATGCAGATTGCTAGGTCCTGCCACAGACATTCCAAATTGGGGACGCCCAGGAGTCTCTATGAAAAGGTTCTGCAGGTGCTGATAGAACCCCAAGTTTAGGGACCCTGGTCTAGAGCTGAGGGGTGCCTTGGGCAGTGAGCACGCAGGACTTGCCTCCTGCTTTCTGAACACTCAGGCCCCACCCCCAGCCCTGGTGCGGCCAACCCCTCCCCCTGGGGATGCCTGATGTTTATCAGAAGCTGGGAAGGCCCACTCCCTAGGGCTGGGCCCGGCTGTGCTGTGGCCACAGCTCTGACATCCCCGGGGAGCAGGCAGAGACTCACAGGATCTGGCCTCTTCCCTCCCACCTCCCACATCTGCTTAACACTCCTTTTCCGGGGAGGGGGAAAGGGCTGGAGTATTGACTGGGTGGGGAGCAGGTTCCTTCAAGAGAGAACCCCACCCATGGTGGGGGCTGGCTAGGGCCTCTGTTCAGGCTGGACCACCTGAACCAACTGGGAGGGAGAGCTGGATCCCACACTCACGCTCTCTCCTCACCCTCACAACAACTCAGAAGAACGTGTTTCCCCATTTTTAAAGGAAGAAATTGAAATCTAGAGTGGTCATAGAACTTGCCCAAGGTCACCCAGCAAATGTGAATATTTGAATTCAGGACTCTGTCTGCAAGCCCGGATATGCTTCCTACGATACAAGGCATGTATCTGACCCCGGGATGATATCCTCTGGGTTGAGGGGAGAAGCCGGCCCTAACCCACCTCCTGGTTCAGCCTGCAGACCTTTTCCTTCACCTCCTCGGCCTCAGAAGCCAGCTCCTCACTCGGTGTGGTTCCTGCAGGCAGAAAGCGGTGATGGCATGACTTACAGCGAGTGCAGGGAGCAGGAGCTGGAAGCTGGGGCCACGCCCCTCCTGGGGCAGGTAGAGAGCTGGGGAGAGCTCCTCAGACTGCCCGAGGCCCTATGACTTCCCCTTACTTCCCCTTATTCGTCTCATCACCCCCACCTCCTTGACACCTGAGCAACACATGCTCTTCTTGCGCCTTTGTGTCTTTTAGCAACTACCTCGCTCAATCCTGCAAACCCTTATCCACCTTTCGAAACCCACCTCAAATGCCCCCCCCCCTGGAGAGTGAGGGGTGCCCTTTTTCTAACTCAGAGCCCTGCTCTCCTTTCAGGACTGAACACTGAGCACTTCGCTGTGGAGTCATTTACCCGAACACACAGGTGTGCCCCCAGCCGCTCACCAAGAGTGTGGGCCAAGTCTGCTCTACCTGAGCATCCCCAGCACGGCACCTGTGCACAGTACTAGCTCACGTGGGCTGGCCCTTACCTGCAGTGACCCTTACCTGCAGGAGGTGCCTGCATGCGGGGCCTGGGCTGCTCAGGCCTCCTGCTGAACCGGAAAGTGGGGGCCTCTGCTGTGCTGCCAGAGTCCTCAATGCCATCCACTATCCTGGGGTGGGGCAGTGGTCATCAGTCCGGGTCAGGGCAGGGGAGGGGCCAGAGCAGAGCAGGCAGAGGGTGAAGGAGGGCAGCAATGCCAGGGAGCAGGGGAGGGGCAGCCATCCAAGAAGGGTGGAGTTGCAAGCTGTGGTGGATTAGGGGGGCACAGAAAGGAAGGAGCACTGGATGAAATGTTGGGGGGCAGAGCCCGAAGAAGGTTCTGGAAGCCAGCAGGGGAATGGGGAAGGCAGGAGAGGCTGGCATCTCACCGGGGGCTGAGGTCCAGAGGTCCGAAGGTTCCCAGTGGGGGAATAAGAAGCTGGGGGGGTTTCCAGGTGGCAGAGCCCCTGGGGGGGGCATGAGGGGAGGGGCTGTGACCCCGGCCAGCCGGGGCAGGGGAAGGAGATGGAGACAGGGAAGGGGAGGAGACAAGGGCTGAGAATGGGGGCAACTCCTCTCCCAAAAGGCTGACCAGGGAGCCCCGGGGACGAGCTGGGCTGAGGTTGGGCAGCAGGAGGGGCCGGCGGGGCCTGGGACCCCCCGCAGGCTCTGCCACGGCCTCGGTCTCTGTGATGGACGGCAGGGTCTTGTCTGACGAGGAGCCCAGGCTTTCTGAACGGGGCTGTGAGCAGAGGGGGGCAGCTGACATCCCGGGTCAGTGAACACAGGCCCTCACTAAACAACAGCCTTCACAGGTGGACGCTGTTCCCCCCTGCTCCCCACCCCTCTCCCTGCTCCCTACAGCACAGGAGCCAAGGAAAGGTGCCCCCAACCCCACTCCCAGTTTTTCCCCATGCAATCTCAACACCACAAGGCAGGGAGGGTTACCTGGGAGAGGCGAGGGGACCGGGAAAAGCGGCCGAGGCCCTGTGGGGACACGGGGTTCAGGCTGACTCACCCCCCACTCCCTTGTGCATCACCGCCTAATCCCACCCTTCAGTTTGTGGGGTTTGACAGTGACGGTCCTTATTGTGGAATTGAGTCAACGGTACCTCCAAAATCTGACTCAGAGAAACCCTGAATGGAAGAGTAAGACTGGAAGCAGTGAAAGACAAGGGCCTAGGGTGTAAAATACAGACTGGCCCGGGCCAAGACCAAAAACGGGCTTGGGAAATGTTTGGCAAGGGGGGATGAGGAAGCCCCAAGGGGATGATGCCCTGTCCAGATGGAGGAGGAGCCACAGGGAGGACCATTTCTGAAGTGAGGTCCTCAGAAGGAGTCCAGAGTGAGGAGAGATGGCCAACAAGACGTGGATGGGTGGAGCCGGACGTGGAGGAGGTGAGAGGGCCCACGGGCATTGGGTGACGGCCAGTGGGATGGGCCAAGACGTTAAGCATGGAAGGAGCGAGGAAAGGGGTGGCAGGACACAGGAGACTCACTGGGGCAGGGGGAAGTCTGCTCTGAGGGAGGGGGCCTCTGGGGGGCAGAGCCCATGGGGGGGGTCACATACATTGGCGTCAGAGCCCTGGCGCAGGTTGAAAGTGAGGTCCCGGGATAGGCCGGCCCGGAAGGCAGCCCCATACTCAGGATAGAGCCTCAGGACCTCCGCCAGCCCCCTGCTGCTCAGCTGCTGCAGGCCACAGTAGGTCAGCGCCTTCACGTCGGCGCTGGTCTTCAGCACGTAGCTTGGGCCTCCCCCTGACCCAGGCTCCTGCCCGGGCTCAGGCAGCTCTGCTCCAATCAGGTCTCCCTTCCCTGTGGTAAGGGACGGGACAGTCAGCTGGGGCGGAGGGACCATGAGGGTATCGGTAGTCAGCAGACTGGAGAGATGACCAGGGTGTTTGAAGGGTGATTGAAGGTGAGTCCATCAGTGGGGTTGGGGGAAAGGTCAGTGGAGAATGACCGGGGAGGCTGGACGGTGGTCACTGGGAAGACCGGCAGGGCTGGAGGAATGGAACTGGACGATCACTAAAGAACAGCCAGAGGTAAAGTCAATGGAATAGAAGGTCAGTGAGAAAGGATCAGCTGAGTTGGGGGACAGGTATTGTGGTGAGCAGTGAGGGGAAGAGTTGAGGGGTTGGGGGATGACCACGGGATCAGGGGATACACGGGAGTGGTCAAAAGGAGGTGGCCTTAGGGGCCTGGGACCTAGAAAGAATACTCCACAGGAATTCCAGGCATCTGCCAGCTTAGATTCCTGGCCACGCCCAAAGCCCTTGGGGAGGGTTCGGGGTGGTAGGGGGCAGTGGTGGGCTCCTCACCCAGGATGGCCAGCACCATGTTGTCTCGCAGCACCTCAAGTGAGCCGGAGCAGACGTAGTAGTGAGACTGCAGGGCGTCCCCACGGCGTAACAGGTACTCTCCCGGAGCACAGAACGAGGTCTTGATATGCAGGGAGAGGGCCCGCAGGCAGCCCCGGCTCGCCGCTCCAAACAGGGGCAGCTGCAAGATCTCCCGGTTGAGGTGCATGGCGATGTCCGCCCTCAGCTCATCGGGGAAGTCGCGCAGCAGCTGCCAGGGGGCACGGGTCGTTCCGCCACCCCGCACTGCTACTGGAACTCTACCGTGTGCTAAGCCGCCACCAGCCTGCCCACTGCTCGGAAGATACCCGCCTCTGCCCTGCCTGACTTCTGCAGGGCTAACCTCCGTTGAGCTGTGTCTGGACCTCCCACCGAAGTTCTGGGGCACAGACGAGGTCTTCTCATGTCTGTTCTCTGCCTGTGGCTACCCACACTGGTCACTCATGTCCTGACAACTCAGTCCCACACCTGAGGCCCTTCCGTGGTGAGTCAGCTCTGGCAGTCAGGAGATTAGAAATCAGCTCTGCTCCCAAGACCCTGTGCACCTCAGGCAATCAATACATGACCTCTTTCTGGGCTGTCTCCCCATATTTGTAAAACATAGGGTTCCACTAGACCTTGAGTGTCACCAATGAGCTCCTGGGGGGCCATGGGAGTCCCATCAAGTTCCATCTATGGGCTCTGTCGACCACTCTGGCTTCCTGAGCTCCTGCTTCTCCCCTCCCCCCTCTGACTCTCCCTCAGCCAGCCTCCTTGGCTTTCTTCTCCCCTCCACACTTCTCCCTCCATTCGCGGCCTCCCTGCTCCCTGTGAGTGGTGAGCCCAACATCTGGGCCTACATCTGTTCGCCCAACTACCCAGACTACCTAGGGGGCAACCTCCCACAGGTGCTGCACCCTCATCACGCCCCAACCCTGGACTCTCATTTTCACTCCTAAGTCTTCCCCTAATGACACCTCTATTCCAGCCCTCTGCCCAAGTCAGAAAGCAGGGGGGTCACTCTGAGCTCCTCCCACGTCTCCTATTCTCAGAAATACCTCCCAGGCCCTCAGGCTGCTCCCAGCTAGAATTTTTTTCAGGATAAAATCTAAGGACAAGGCGACCACAAGCAGGCTTCAACACCTGCCCAGCCTCCTCTCCTGTGCTCCCTCCTCCCTGAGGGCTCACACAGTCCCTGAGTGAACTACTTTCGGTTCCCTGAACTCACCCTGCTCCTTTGCAGCAACATTTCCAGACCATGTTTCTACTGCTCCTTCTTCCTCAAATGTTCGCCCCAAAGCAGGCGGTTTCCCTCTTGTCCTGCACAACGTCCACACTGTCTGAGCCACTGTCCCTAATTCCTCTGGGCCCAGGAACAGTGAAGGCCTTGCTGCACCTGCATCCTTCCAGTTAGTCCCATTCACTGCATAATTGTGTTTACAGTCTGCTTCCCTCACCAGACTGGTGCCCGAGGGTAAGGACTGCATGTCCTCTCTGGGCTCCCTGAGCACAGGACCAAGGCTGGCCCAAAGCAGGTGCCCAGGAACGGCTGGCTGAAGCTGGCACTGGCATGAACTAGGTCTGAGCTCCCTGTTGGTTCCCATCTTCTCGTGCCAAAGAAAAGGGATCTGGATCCGGGTGGGCACCGCTCTGCACCCGACCTGCCTCCATCCCGAAGCCAGGGAGGCAGCGCCCCTGTTCCATGGCCCTGCCAGCCCGCACCAGGCGCCCAGGCACTACCTCGTTGGCGTCTATGCCGCTGTTGACCGCCCACGTGGTCTGGAAGTACTCGAGCATGCGCTGCTTGAGCGGCCGCGGCAGGCGATGCACGCGGATGAAGTCCTTGAGGTCCTTCATGCGGCTGTGGTAGAGCGAACGCCGCGAGTACATGCGCTGGATGATGGCTGTCACGTTCCCGAACACCACTGCGTGCATCAGCGCTGCGGCGGTGCAGCGCGCAGCCGTCAGGCGCCGCCGCCTCTCCCGCCTCCTCGCCACCGGACCTCCCGAGCCCCCGCCCTGGCCTCGGCTTGGGTTTCCTCCGGGAGGGGGTTGGGGGGGGCACAGAACTCATGGGCTGCTGGTGCCACGCACTGAGGTCTGAGAAGGGACGGGGTAGCAGGTGCACCAGAGAGGGGAGTGACCTGATGAGCGTCTCATCTCCCCCACTGGAGGTTCCCATGCCCTTCCCAAGGGGCCACCCCCCGCTGGTGGCTTCCCTCAGGCCAGCACAATGGACGATGGCACCTCTGTCTGGTCTGGGTGCACACCTGGCCCTTTGTGGGCCAGTTTCCCCATCTGCCACCCTCACCGCCTATGAGCATCGTGCAGATGGAGAAGATCTTTTCTGCGTCGGTGTTCGCGCACACGTTGCCGAAGCCCACACTGGTGAGGCTGCTCAGTGTGAAGTACAGGGCGGCGATGTAAGCGCTGCGCCGCGAGGGGCCGCCCGCCGAGCCGTTCACGTAGGGCACCTCCAGCCGCTTGCCCAGCTCATGCAACCAGCCTGTGTGTGGAGGGGTGGAAGGAGCCAGGCTGTGCAGACCGTAGAGAACTGGGTCGCTCTAGCTGCCTGCACTTGACCTTGGGCCAGTACGGACAGAGGGGAGGGGAGGTTTGCAAGGGCTGGCACTGGTTATAGTTGAAGCCCAAGGTTACCGAGCACCCCACCTCCACTACACTCCCACACCCAGCTGGCTCTGTTCTGTGTACACCGGGAGCCCGGACTTGACCCAGCCAGGCACTCTCCTTGGCCTGGGGCAACTTACTGTCTGAAGGTGGAAAAACATGAACTAAATCATTGCAGGTGGGAGGTGAGCAACTACAAAGGAAGCATAGGGTGTCTCAGGAATCATAAAGAGTTAGGGAGCGTCAGCTCCACTGGGTGGGTGGGTGGGTTGCTGAAAGGCTCCCTTAAGGCGGAGCACTTGAGTTTAGACTGCAAGGAGCAGAAGCCACATAGATGAAGACGGAAAGTAGAAGGGAGAGGACTCCAGAGAAGAAAACATGTTCAGGGTCAAAGTGGAAAAGCAGTGCAGCTGGGTCCTGGAGGGAGGTCAGCAGGGCTGCAGACAGGGCGTGGGGAGAGTGAAGGCAGTGGCCTCGGGGGGCCTGAGGACGCCTCAGGTGTAGATCAGGGTGTACTTTATCTTGGGGGGAGTGGTGGGTCACTGAAAGGGCCCAGGCAGGGTGCTGCTTCCTCTGCTCAAAACACTCCCAGCCCCACACTAGCAACCTGTTTTCCATACTGTATTTTGACTACTGGTCTTGCTCCCCTGCTAGCTGGAGGAGGCGGGTGAGGTCTCCCCAAGGGGGAGCCATTCTCTTCAACCGCTATTCCCAGGCCTGATCCAGAAGGAGCTCAGTGCATGTTTGTGGGTGAAGGAGAAATGTGGAACGGTGGGTGCAGTATTGGTGGCGGCATCATCTTGGGGATCTGGGCAGACAGGGCAGGTGGATGAGTGGTCAGAGAAACCCTGGGCTGGTGGCTCACCGATGTCCCAGAGCAGCGGGTCATTGGCCTCCATCTCCTGGCGCCCGATGACATACCACACGCAGGCCATCCAGTGGGCCAGGAGCGCGAAGACGGACATGAGCAGCGTGAGCACCACAGCGCTGCACTGGGAGTAGCGCTCCAGCTTCTGTAGCAGCCGCAGCAGCCGCAACAGTCGCACTGTCTTCAGCAGGTGCACCAGCGACGTCTGCAGGAGTGTGGGGGGAGGCTGTGCACAGGCACACCCCCTCGGAGCCGCACACCCCCGCGCCCCTCCCAATGCTGTGCCACCAGGTGCCCTGAGCTAGGGAGAGGTGCAGCAGGGGAAACACCCCTGCAGTTCTGAGGTGATGAGGAAATGCATGGGGGGAGGGGGAGGAAAATGCTAATAATAATGCTAAAACCAATAATGGCTAACAGCAAGTACTGACTCCATGTGTCAGGCACAGTCGTCATCCTCATTAAACAGTAATTCTGGCCTTCGGTTCAATGATTGTCTTTGTTCCCAATTTGCAGACGCAAGAACTAAGCCAAGGCTCAGAGAGGCTGGTGACTTGCTTGTGGTCACAGACCGAGGAAAAGAAACTGGGACTCAAATCTGGGCTGACACCGAGGTCCATGCTGTCCTAGATGATCTCTTAGTGCTGTGGGCTGGTGAAAGAGCAAGTCCTGACCAGAGCCAGTGGAGCAGACAGGGATCTCCCGCCCCTGCTCCCCAGCCCCGCTCCTTGCACCAGGGTCAGCCGGGACAAGAGCTGAGGCTTAGTGTTGCCCGCAGCTGGGATGAGCCTCCCCTTCGCGCAGAGGCGCGGATTGGGGCTGGGAGGCTTCGCGCTTTGCCCTGCGGGCTAGCACAGAAGACAGGATGTTGAGGAAAGGGGAGCAGGGCCCACCTGCCAGGGCTTCAGGCCTCGGGGGTTGCTGGGGCTGGTGGCACCAGGCAGGGCCATGCCCCTGGCAGCTACCAGTGCAGTGCCCACACTTTTCATTGGGGCTGGCCTGCTTCAAGGAGCCTCTCTGGTCTTGGTGATGAGGGGCAGAGAGGGTCTTCACGACAGGGTTCTCTCCTGCTGGGCAGGGCCACCACTGTCCTTTCAGGGCTTCCAGAGCACCCGGCACAGCTCCGGCCCTCCTTCGGAGGCTCCCAGCCAGTCCGTGCATTTTTCTTTTATTTTAGGTGAACAAGCTAGGAAGGCGCTGGCCTGACTCTCCCACGGGACCCTCCTCAGAGCCCGGTGCCCGCCGCCAGCTCCCAGCTCCAAACTCGAGTCCTGTGCTTGGCCCCGCTCCCTTCAGGCCTCCTCCCCTCGGACCAGGCTGCCCAGGCTGGGCTCCGTGGATGGACAGCACAGCTCTGCCGGCAGCGGCTCAACCCCTGGCTCGGCTCTGTCTCCCTCCCTTCCCCACATTGCTCCTGATTTCCCCTCCTGCCAGACCACGCACTGAGCCAGGCTGGTCTCCTGGGACGCGGAGCCGTGTGCTGGAAAGAACGCTAGGCCAGGAGTCTGCACACCTGGTTCTACTCCACCTGCCACTGTGAGTTGTGCGACCTTCGGCAAGTTGCTTAACTGCTCTGAGCTTCTGCATCTGCCCAGGAAAAGAGGCGAAGAACCAGCCCTGAAGGCTCTCCGGGAGGCTTCTATGTTATCTAGTGTGTGTAAGAACTTACCCGGAGGTACCAGAGGACAGGGAACCGCCTAGGGAGGTCATGGGGCTCCCCAGTGCCCCCATCCTCCAAAGACAGCAGTCTGCCTGACTGCCGTGACCCAATAGGTTTCCGGGGGCGAGGGGGGTGCACAGGCAGGTCTGCCTGGACAGGGCAGACACACACACTCGCACGTGTGTGGGAACTTGCACACACGTGTACACAGCCAGGAGAGGAGGCCCACAGCCCGTTGGCGGCTAGTTAAATCCGGCTGCGTGTAGGTGGTTTCCCACTATAGCTAAGTGTGGCAGAGAGAGGAGTGCACAGGGAAATGCTCTCCACCCCCCACCCCTCATCAAGGGGGTCTGGGGACACGGTGGGTGTCCGCACCCTAGACCTGAGAAGACCCACTGTGTGCCAGGTGGGAGAAGAGTCGAGCACCTAGGACAGCTCCTGGCAGGCCCCAGGGCGGGAGGACCCAGGTCCTGGCGCTCTGCCTTCAGAACCACCCTGTAGCCTCAACATCTCCCTGTCTTGGCTTACTATGCTCCCCAAATGCTCCCTCTCCATCCTGCCAGCCGAATCCTACTCTCTGTCTGAGGTCTGGTTCTGCTCTCCCCTGCCTCGGGAGCCCTCCCCGGGCACCCTAGCCTCTGTCCAGCTGGGGTGCTTTTTCCTCCCAGGCACTGGCCCAGATTACACATCATTTGTATGCATGCCCACGCTCTTGCCTGGAACTCCAGGTCAGCAGCTGGCTTTGGGCCAGCCCCCATGCAGTAGTACCTGCCCCATCCTCCACTCCACTCACCTCTTCCATTCCATTCCATTCCTGTCCCCTCTTGTCATCTCGCCCCCTCCCCGGCTTAGCTGCTTGGAGGCTGAATCCTTGTCCCTTTTCCCCACAGTGACCAGGCCCCACACAGTGCTGTGCAGACAGCCAAATGCTCATCAGTTGTTAATTAAAAATGTGAAAAGTACCACTCGTTTGGCATCAGACCAGTGCCGCCTTGGTAGCCCTAGTTAGCTTTTCATTTGTCTCAGCTTCCTCAGAGATGCTGAGCTGAGCGCCGCAGGAGCACAGACCCTCTAGATCCTTCTCAGCACCTAGCACAGGGCTCTGCAGGAAAATACTGGCAGATGGGTTGATGGGGAGGGCTCAGTGAGGATTTGGGGTGAGTCCCTGAACGGGAGATGCCACACCGAAGCTGGTGGTAGGGCTGCATCGCATCGGGGGGAGGCACCACTCACCACGGTGATGTTGAAGACGTACAGCAAGTCAAAGGGCAGAGCGGCAATCAGGTCGATGAAGAACCAGGTGGCCAAGTAGTGGAGGCCAATGGACCGAGGAGCAGAGATCACCTGGCCGGACTGGGACACGTAGGTGGTGCGGAAGTTCAGGATGATATCTGGGGGTGCAAGAGGCTGTTACGAGGGGCCCTTGTTCAGCTGGAAGTAAGCCTTAAGAGACCCAGAATAGAGGAGGTGGCTGGAATGGGGCAGACAGTCTGGACCCTTGGCTGGGCTTTGGGGAGGAGAGAACTAAAGACTGAAGGCTGTAGGGGTCAGGGACCAGGGGTCAGGGATCAGGGCACACGGGCCATTAGAACTTTCAAGACAGAGCAACAGATGGGCTTTGAACGCCCCATCCTGCAGCAGGACGGAGCGGGACGTGGAGGGGAGGGTTCTCCGCCCCACCCCCGGCCACGTGGGGCAGAGGGTCTGACCCAGGATGAACAGCATCTCCACGGCGATGTCGCTGACGAGGGTGTGCCGGGAAGTGATGGGGGTGTCGTCATCGCCCAGGAAGCAGACGTTGTAAGGGACAGTGACCGCAACGTAGAAGGTGGCGAGGAGGATCAGGCCGTCCCAAACAGCCTTGGGGACGCTGTAGTGGAGGAGGAGGCAGCGGGACCCCCCCACGGAGGCCACCTTGTATTCAGGCACTGATGGCTTTGGTTCAAACACGTTCTAAAGGGAGAGGGGTGTGGTTGGGGACACTTGGGGGGAAGAATAGCTCAGGTTGGGGGGAGGGAGAGGCGGGGGATGGAAGCAGGGAAGGTGGCACTGCCAGCACAACCATGAGAGGAGGTGCAGGAGAGAGGCTCAGAGCCTGGCACCTGGCATCCTGCTGCCAAGCGACTGCACAGGTCCCGTTTAGAATCAAACGAGGCTGGCAGGGTATTTATAAGGCTTGAGAGGGAGGTCATGACAAGTCAGGCACATGCCCTAGCTTGTGGGGTCATAACTTCTGCAGGTTCCATCCTGGGGGCCTAGAGGGTGAGGGTGCCTATATCCCAGGGGCAAGGAGAGGCTGCATGACCCCCACCCCCATTCCTTGTAGCCCTAAGATACCACACAGAGGATTAGACACACATTCTCGTGAGTGCTACCTAAGGCGAGACACCAGGCCCAATTGGATGCTTTCTTCCTAGGACCACAGCTTGTGATTGCACCCCCATCTTCATGAGGTAACCCTGTCACATGGGGTAGATGATGCAATTGCTGCTAGAACTCCACTCTCCTGACATCATCATCACAGAGTAACATCAGTCACAAGGAAGGACAGAGATGCGGATGGAAGGCGATGCAGGGGACACTGGCGCAGAGGGCAGTAAGGGGAGAGGGTTGGAGGGAGGAGTGAGCCATGGAGGGAGGCTGGCCAGACAGAAACAGGAGGCAGTTGCAAGCATGCCTCCGAGCTGTAGCTGAAGGACTCTGGAGATGCTGGGGTGGGAATGGGACTCACGTTATTGGTTTTCGTGCTTTCTTGGCCCCGCCGGCCAAAGTGGCCAGTCAGTCGGCGTAGAACAGTTCGGCTCTGCCTCCTGGCGGATCGAAGCCTCGAGCTGGCTCCCCTCCTGCCAAGGGAGTTTTCTGTTGGGAAAAAGGGTGCAGCGATAAGTGGGTTCACGTTCTGTGATGTTGGGTAGGGAGAGGTTTTCTTTGCCCTGGAACAAGCACCTCTGACCACTCCTGCCTTCTCCCCTGATCTGCAGTTACCATGATTACTGTCTCCATGGCCTCCTGGGGGGCCAAGTCCGGGACCTCCACTCTGAGTGATGTCCTTGAAGGAAAAGAGGAAGAGCACGACCTCCCCCATCTCATTCTTGATGGGCATCATGTCCAGGAGGCACCAGAAGGCAGAGCCTGCAGGTGTAGAAAGAGGGAGGGTGAGATGAGCAGTCCCACAGCATCCTTCCCCCTCATCTCTTGCTTCCTGGGCATATTCAAGGGCCTTGCAAAGATTCAGAGATGGAGAGAACGCTGGAGATTATTTCAGCTGACTCCATCTTCTTGTTGGGCAAATCAAGGCCCAGAGAGCATCGGGGCTGAGCTCAGTGCACACAGTCAGCTCTCAGCGGTGTGCGATCCAGCACCCAGGCTTCCATTGTGACAGAGACTCTGGACAAGGCCTAAGGCCTGCGCAGGGCTGTGGGGCAGGTCAGGCCTCCTCACCATCTTTGCGGTAGAAGCAGATTTCAGCCCTGTGCTCCTGATGGCCCTCCAAGGCCTTGTGCAGCCTCTGCAGGGCTGGCTCACTGGTCTCTGGGCCATAGAGGAAACGGCAGCTGCAGGTTTTCTGCATGACCTCGGTGCGGCCGTAGCCTGTGAGCTCGCAAAAGCCGTCAGAGCAGTACACGATGGGAAAGCCCTGTGGACCCTGTGCATTGGCCAGCAGGAAATTGCTATCTGTGGGAAGAAGAAGTCAAGGTCAAGTCAAGACCAGGAAGGGAGCTGAGTTTTCAAGCTGTGTCTTTACAGACTTACATGCGATCCCCGGACCACCCCCCTTTGGAATATTCTGAAATGACAGTAAAAAGAGATCAAGCAAAGGGACAGGACTCATGGATGGCCTGGAACTGGGACGGGGACAACTGGGGGGCTGGAGAATTCACGTGGCCCATCCCCCGCGCTCAGGCTGGTGAGCTATTACTGTAGGAGGCAGCATAGCCTGGTGAGTAAGAGCATGAGCTCCAGTGCCCCACCCTTGCCACTTACTGACTGTGTGACCTTAAGCAAGTTAATTAACTCTTCTGTGCCTCGGTCCCCTCTCTGCAAGTGGAGGATGATAATAACTCTCACATGGTGGTTGTGAGAGTTACATGAGTTACTTGACAAGAACAAGTCCTGGCACATAGAAAGTGCTACACCAAAAAGATGAAATAACTCCCCTATTTTCGCATGACTTTCAAAACACATCACGAGCGACCATCCTGCAACCCTATTAGAGAATGGACAAGGCAGAAATTCTGGCGAGAGTACATCCTTTCTATTGATAGGAGACCAAAATGCAGAGACTAGCCGAATTCTCAAATCTCCTTTGTGGGGGGAGAGACAATGATGAGCAGTGTCCTCACTCCCAGCCTTCCAGGAAAGGCCCTCATCTCTAGTGTTCTTCTAGCTACTTGCAGGGGGTCTTTCAAAGTCTAACAGGACAGGGTAGTGAAGTTGTGGTTCCAGCAATCCCAGCAGCAGCACCTGAGCTAATTCCCTCCAAGAGGTGGGAGGCCACAGGGGGTCATTCAGGGATAGAGTCTCATCGAGGGAAGGGGCCTGGGATATAACCAGTTCCAGGGAGCTAGGAAGGATGAGTGTCTGCAGGTGGGGAGCTTGAGGGGGACACTGAGGGTGCCTGGGAGACTCTGGGCCCTGGGCAGCAGCCTCCTTCTTCCATCCCAGGGCCCGTTGCCCCGGTGATGGGCGCTATGGAAACAAGGGAGGTGTGAAGGGGGGTGGAGGGGAGGCTGTTAAGGGGCCCAGGGCGCTAGGTTTCCGCCCTCGGGTGCTGCTCACCTCCTCCCCTTTTGCAGATCCCGGTCAGGGTGCCCAAACGGGGCAGGGGGAGAGCTCTCTGCTCCCAAGTAGAAAAAGAAATGGGTGGAGAAAAGGCCAGGGAGGGAGGATTGCGGCTGTCCAAGGTGCTGAACCTGGAACCCACGCTGGGGTGGGTGAACAGGGAGTTTCCTCCAGTCACACCGACCACCTCCTCCCGCCTCACCTCCCTCAGACACAGACGTGACACGATTTGGGGGGCGCGTGACCTTATCTAAGCTAGGTCTTGCCGAAATCTGATCTTTTTTCTCCCCTTTTTCCCTTGGGGGAAAGGGATGCCGTTTGGGAGCAGACCCAAATGGAGAGCACGGCCACTTCGTCCCACCTCCGCCTCTTGGAAACCCTCATACACGCCCCCAGCAGTGCTCTGCCCTGGAGTGGGCGGCTCCCACGGTCTCTTCTCCGTTTTGCCGCATAAAGAGCCCTTCCAGCCTCAGGTCACGTCCCTCAGCTTGAGTCCTCCCACCGACACCCCCGAGCTCTTGGCCCTTTCTCCCTCCCCTCACAGGACGCACCAGGTCCTGTCCCCTTGCTGCGGCTTTGGGAGTTCCTAGATGCTCAGCTCCGCGCTCTCTCTCCTTGACTTGGTTCTCACCACATCCAGGAGTCCCCGTTGGAAACCCCCCAGCCCCAGCATCCACTCCACTCCACTCACGCGTGCCGTCGAAGCGGGTGGCGATGGTGTCCAGGAAGGTGTTTTGCGGGGCCAGCAACCCCTTCATGACCGGCATGGCCTTAGGGCGCGGGTTCAAGGCTCAGCGCTGGGGGGCGTTCAGCGCGGCCGGGCCGGAGGGGGCGCACTGCCGGCGAGGCCGGGGCGCCCCATGCGCCCGCCTGCCTCCTCCCCTCCCTCTAGCCGCCACTGCCGCCGCCGCCTCTATGCCTGGAACCTTGCAGCTCTCGCCTAGGTTCGGCGCCGCCTCGGTTCCCCCCCCCACCACCTCCCCACGGGCCAGGTTGTTTCCCCCGGGCTCGCCCCGCGCCCGCCACGTGGCCCCGCACGGGGAGGGGCCACCAGCGACACCCGAACCCCTCTCGGTTGCCCTCCTCCGGGAGGGGAGCGGCCCACGCGTGTCTCTCCCGGGGAGAATTCGGGACACGCCCACCTGGAACCCTGGCCTGAAGAGCTGGGGGCGGGACTTGAGCGACAGAAACGCCCTCCTGCCCGCGTGGCCACGCCCCCACGCGTGGTTCCCTGGCGGCCTCTGTGGCTCCGCCCCACGGGTTTCCCCGCACCGCCCACGCTGGGAACGGCGTCTGACTCGTAGTGCCGCCTGCTGGAGTTGGGATTCTTCGCGGCACACGGAGCTCTCTGGCCTCTGGCCTGCAGCGTGTACAAGGGTTAAAGGAGATTAGTTTTGCCCAGAATCTACTGGAAGCCTGGGAACTCCACTTCTAGGACGTGCTACTTAACCCTCTCCTGTGCCTCAGCTTTAGGGCTTCTTTGTGAATGAACTCTGCCTCTGAGCACAGCAGGGTGGGTTAAAGTTTTAGAGTACAACAGGTAGAATGCCAGGTCGGCCCCTTGATGGCGCCTGTTTCCTCATTTGTAAAATGGAGCTAATAATCCATGGGGGAAGGGGGGGGGTGTGTGGGGGGAGGGCAGGAAGGCACAAAAATATGTAACTCTTCTCCCTTTTCCCATTCTCTTGCTATATTGTAATTCTCCTTCTCTTAGGTGCCAATCAAGTGGAAGAGAAGCTGGAAGCAAGTTTGGGACCAAGAAAGGTGGGCAGAGTGACCCTTTGCAGATCTCTGGTGGGCTTTGAGCTCCTTCTCCTCTAAGATAGAATCAGTGCAGCAGCAAGTAGGACCCAGGGAAATCAGACACAGACCTTTCCAACAATAGAAGCAGAAAGTTACTGGGGCAGCTGAGTGCAGTGGTTAAAGGTGCTGCTTTCTGGACTAAAACAGCTAATGTCAGTGATACAGAAAAATGGGTGCTAGAGAGGGCAAGCCTGGCTTCTGTGGCTCACCCTCAGGGCCTAAGCCCTGCACACAGGGGATGAAGATTGTTGAAAAGTACCTGGCCTTTCTGTATCTCTACTTCTGGGTGTTACATTCATTTCCTAGGGCTGTAATAAAAAGCATCACAATGTGGATGGCTTAAGCAACAGAAATTCACTTGTCTCAGTTTTGGAGGTTACAAGTCCAAGATCAAGATGATAATAGCAGGGTTAGTGCCTCCTGAAGGCCAGGAGGGAGAAACGGCTCCATCTCTCTTCTAACTTCTGTGGATTGCTGGCAAGCTTTGGTGTTCCTTGGTTTATAGCTGCATCACCCCACGTCTGCCTTCAGGGTCCCACAAGTTCTTCCCATGTGCATTTCTGTGTCCAAAGTCTCCCTCTTTTATTTATTTATTCATTTTTACATCATTCTTCATTTGTTCAATTTTCCATCTCGGGTGTAATCCCCATGGACTTCCCACCACCAAGTCACCTGTGTGCCATCACCATAGTCCTGTGAACATTTCCCACCCCATTTTTAATCCCCTCCCCACTTCCCACTTCCCGCCCCGTAAAATGTCTTTGGTATATAGTTGTTCGTTGTTTTTCACTTTTTCTTTATTACAATTGCTTCCCCTCTCCCTGGATCCCTTACGCTCCTGCTATGAGGGAAACTGGTATTTTTCTTTTTCTTTCTGGCTTATTTCACTGCTAAGCCTGATCCCTTCCAGCTCCATCCATGTTGCTGCAAAAGGCATAGGTTTGTCTTTTTTGATTGCTGAGTAATAAAGTCCCCCTCTTTATATTAACACTATTCATATTGGGTTGCCACCCCCAACACCAGTAGGGGGACCTCATCTTAACTACATTTTCAATGACCCTATTTCCCAGTAATGTCACATTCTGAAGTGCTGGGGCACAATTCCACTTATATTAGGTATTTGCCTAAAGTTGCAGTAAAATCTCTCCCCATCTCTGCTTAAGAACCACTGGTGATTCCAAGCTACCTACTGAGTGGAAGGCGAAGTCGGGCTTGGATGCAGAGGTCCCTGAACAAAAGTCCTGCACAATCCTGACTGTGTGAACCTCACCACCTCCTCCTGTCACCCACCACCCCCATCCTCGCTGCTGGCTCCCATTACGCGGCACCTTGCATCACATTGCCATCTCCCTGGATGAACCTCAAATGCCCTGTCTTTTGGGGGCAATTTCAGCTCCTCCCCCTCCCCCACCGTCTCTCTCTCAGGTTCTCGAGAATGACCAGTGGGACACAGAGGGACTTGTGTGACCTTCTCCCGCCTCCCAAGCGTGCATATATGCATTCCCTAAGCACTCGAGGGTCTGGCATGAGACTTTGTTCAGGGACCTCCGCCTGCAAAAATATTTCGGAGGCCCAAGCTGGGGTGCCCTAGAGAGGGCTTTCCAGAGTCACGGGTTCTTTAGCGATCACAGACTTCCAAGCCCCCGGAGGGGCGGCACGTACAGCCATACACAGCATACTACGGGAGGCTCGTCTTTATTTCCGCTTTTCTGAGGGCTGACATCAGGCGCGCAGCGGGGAGAGGGCCAAGCTAGGAGAGGCCCGACCGAGGGCTCAGACCCCGGGCGGTCCCCCAGGCGCCACCGACGCCGCGGCCACCGCGGGGCAACGGCGCCCAGTGCAGGGGCGCGGCGCTGGGTCTGCGCCTGCGCGGCGGCCCATGGTCAAGATGCCGGCCGCGTGGTTGCCGTTGGCCTGCAGGAGGCGCTGCAGCCGGCCCTGGAGGCCCGGGGGCCCTGGCCGCCGCTTGCCCAGAGTGAGGATGCCGGCCGCGTGGTTGCCGTTGGCCTGCAGGAGGCGCTGCAGCCGGCCCTGGAGGCCCGGGGGCCCTGGCCGCCGCTTGCCCAGAGTGAGGATGCCGGCCGCGTGGTTGCCTGCGCCGTGCAGCAGCTCGTAGAGGCGGCAGGAGCACGTCTTCTGGCGACAGCAGTCAGGCAGGGGCTGGGCGGCCGCCCAGGGCGACAGGAGGGCGGGCGGCAGCAGCAGCAGCAGCAGCAGCGTCACGACGGCCCAGGAAACCTGGGGAGGTGGGAGACAGGGCGCTGGGGGTCCTTTGGCCGCGCCTCCGCACCTACGCCCCGGTCCTGCGCAGCTGGGCCCCTCCTGCTGGCACACCGCCTCCTCGCTCTGCCCTACTTTTCCTGCCTCTGCTCAACTCTGAAGGGTTCTGTTGGAGAAGGCGCTTCTGTGGCTCCCGTTCCTGCCCAGCCTGTAAGGCCCGGCACAGGCCTCCTCCAGGAAGGCCCTGGAAGGGCTCTCTCCTCTGGATACCTCAGTCCCTTACACCCCCACTAAGGCGCTTATCATGTCGCAAAGAACGGGCGTGTCCGAGTCTATCTGCTTTGGAAGTTTGTACACGCAGGGACACAGGCCCTGTTTAGTCACCCCCCTGCCCAGGGTGGGCAAAACGCGGACTGGTAGGGTCCACATCGTCTTGTCCAGCTGCCCCTCGCAGTGGGCACTGAACTCAGTGAATGGCTGCGGAGCAATTTCCTACCTCGGCTTCCTTCCCTGTGAACTGGGGGCAGGGATTGGGGGGCAGGAGGGGGTGCTGGTGGGAGGGTCAAGTGATGCACACACAGCCCCTAATACAGCCCAGGAACCATGAGGCCTCTGGAGGATAGGGCACAGCCTGTCAAGAGGGACTCCTGGTCAAAGGCCCTGGCCCCTGTCTCTGAGCCCCCCTGGGAAAGGCCAAGAGAGCCCTCTGCCTCCCAGCCTGCAGCAAGCACTCTCTTCACCCCTGCCACGCCCGCGTCTTACCTTAGAGGAGGAGGGCTTCATGGCGTCTGGAGCCCAGAGAGGCCAGCCAGGGAAGGTGGTGTCTGCAGTGGTCCAAGTTGCTGACCATAACTGGCCAGCGGGGCCCGGGGTTTATAGTGCTCTGAGATGGGGGGGCCGAGATGGGCGCTTGCGTGCTCTCTGGGTCCAGACAAAGGCAAGTCTAAGATTAGCTTTCCGCAGCAGGGCCGTCTCCAGGCTGGGCCCGAGGAATGGCCGCCAGAGCGCCCCGAGGCTGCAGCTGGGTCGCGGTGCCTGTGCCCCCCCCCTTGTCTGTCTGCTTGCTCCCTGGAGATGGGGTGGTCTCCGGGCACTAATGAGGCCACCTTGCACCCAGGAATCTGGGAGCACAAAAGAGACCTTGGCTGGGTGCTAGCTAGGCTGGGACAATGGGGGGGTGGCAGCTGCTAATTAGGGGCAGGAGAGGAGGCTGTCCTCGACAGCCTCGGGGTGGGGGGCCTGGTAGCAGGCTTCTCCCCACTGCTTCTCCTTGCTGGCCCTGTCGGGCAGCAGGGCCTTCTTCCAGCCAGCTTCCCCTCCCCTAGCTGCCTTCTACTCTCTGCGCCTCCCACCTGCCTCCAAGAGAGAAAACCTTGAAAACAGCCTGGGCAGCAAGGAGAAGGCAGCCAAACCTGGGGCTGCCCTTTGACCTCTCTGACTTCCTTCTGGGTGGGTACCCGGAGGGCAGGACGGAGCCCCCTCCCACGGACAGCTGGCAGTGAGCCTCTGGGGCCACGGACTCGTGCCAACTGCTTGCCAAGTCTCACATTCAGGGCCTGACTTGCGGGCACGTGAGCTGGGTCAGGCCCTGCCCCGGGCAGTGGGCAGCAGTGGGCATGGAACCTGACTCAGGTCTCAGGGAGCTCCCATGTCGGGGTGGGAGGTGACTGGCAGGTGGGTTCAGTGGGAGAAGAGCTCTGAAAAGTCGCTGCATAAAAGTGGCTTCACCTCAGGCCTGGCCCCCTGGGACTCTGTAGCGGACATCTCCAGCCCAGCAGAGACTGGGGGTGAGAGTGCTGGGGCCTCTGCGGGTGAGTGTGGGCCTCAGAGGCGAGGCCTGCCTGGGAGAGGCGGCGGCTGGACAGGTGAGCGAGGGCCAGGTGGCTCCTATCTGCTTAGCTGATTGGTCTGAATCCTGTCGGCAACAGGGGACCCACAGGAGGATTTCAGCAAGAAGGGTCCTGGGCTAAAGTGGGGGTGCCGCTGGGGGCAGGGGCCGTGGTAACACAGAGTCCAGAAGTAATTGAGGCAGAGTGAGACTAGGCCACTGGTTGGGAACAGGTGCAGCTTTATCCAGGAGCAGCTGCAGGGCGTGACACGCCCCACAACCCCACAAGGCCTGAGTTTTCCACTGGGTAGAGGAACAGTGAACCCAGATAGATTCTGGGTTGATTCCTGCTGTGCCGCTTTGCAGTAAGTACATCTCCCACGGGCCAGAAAGGGATCAGTGCTCAGCCTGGTCAAGGGGAGTGGGGGGCAGCCCCTCCAGCGAGAGGTTCAGCTTGGGACGGGGCAGGGTAGGACGTGAGGGTTCTGTGACTTCTGGGTTGACCTAGGCCATGGTTGGAGCCCCAAGGGCCCCTGACTGCACACACACCTGGGGCCTCCCCCCACCCGGAGTGGAGAGTGGGGGAGGCCTTGGTGCCTAGAACCTAAAGGGGAGCCTGGGTAGGCCTGACTATGGCCAGAGCAGAGCAAATGGGACCACTACACTTCCCCCATACAGACCCCAAGACGAGAATCTGGGTGCAAGAGGTTTATTTGGGAGGTGATCCCAGAAAGCACAATAGGAGTGGGGGTGGGAGGAAGCCATAAGAATCAGGTTACTGCTGTGGGCACTGCAGGGCACCTGCCAGACGGTGCCAAGGCCCCTTCAGTCTCACGCCGCGAGGGGCGGGGAGCTGAGGTCTGCATTCACCGGCTCCTGTTCCTTGTCGACTGGGGTTAAGTCCCGTCACTTCCGGCCTGCCTGGTGCACTGGGCCGGACACAGGAGCCGCTGGCACGTGGGGTCTCTGCCGCAGCTCAAGGGGGCTCCAGGCAGGGCACTGCTGGCATCTCTACTTGGAAGCCTCACAGGCAGAGTGGGGGTGCTGCCAGGTGGGACCTCCCCGAGGCGCAGCAGCTCGATGAGCCACTGTCCGGTGACACAGTCAGACACCCTGGCCAGGCGCTCCCCGTCCAGAGAGGCCCCAGAGGAAAGAGTGAGGGGACCTCTGAGGTGGACCAGGCAGTGACCAGGCCCTCAGCTCAGGACACCACCCGCCTCTGCAGGACCCCGGCCAGGTGCCTGTGCCGAAGGACCCGGGGCATCTCAGGAGGGAAGGGGGCTGCGGGGCCGGCTGCCAGGGCTTCCCGGAGCGCTCGGAAGGCCCCCTGCTCCACCAGGTGCACTCTGGCGGGGCCCACGCTGCCCCGGAACCGCAGGGACTTGTAGTGGGGAGAGACTTCCTGGAGGCAGCGGTCAAGCTGGAACGGAACGGCCTGCGTGAGGCTGGCACACAGCGGCCTGCTGTGGGCCGAGGGGCGCACGGCTGTGCCCAGGGTAAGCGTGGAGTTTCATGTGTACCCGCGTGTGTTGGTGGGGTTCACCCCTCCCTTCCCAGAGCCCCGAGAGCGCCTCCCTCCGACCCCGCTCCCCTGAGGCACCCCAGCACGCACTTGGGGCACGCAGTTGGACGGAGCCCCTCTTTACCTTGTCTCGGTTTTGCTCTGACAGGTTTCTCAGCCCCTTCAGAGCCACAAACACCTCATAGTGGGGCGCAGAGCCCTCGGAGGAATCTGCAGACCAAGCCCGTGCCCGTGTGAGTGGGGGAGGGGCGGCTGCCAGCGCCCTCTGCCCCCTCAGCTCTGCTCCGAGCTGAGGTCCAGGGGAAAGGAGCTTCTTTGTGGGGAGCAGGGTAACTGGAGAGGACCCCAGAGCCTGACGGCAGGCCAGGACAGGAAGGGCACGCTGCAGGGGGAGGGGTGGGGGCTAACGTGGGGAGCAGCACCGGCTGGGTTTCTCCTCCCTGCGGTCTCCCAGCAGAATGGGCTAGGGGCAGCCCTGTACCCGTGGCCAGGAGGCGACGCAGGAGCCTACCCAGAATGCTGCTCTCTGTGCAGCTGTGGTCCAGCAGCTTGGCCCCTGGCCACTGCCCCACGGCCAGACTCAGGGCCTCAGAGAACGTGTCCTCTCCAGTGTCTTCTCCCCGCACGCTCAGGGCCTGGCCCAGCCTGCGGAGGAGGGGCAGGGAGGCAGAGAGCCCAGGGCACCGCGCCAGTCCCTCGGCCACTCAGGGGTCACCTACCTGCGGATGAACCTGACCACTGGGCACTGGTTGTAGGCACCCACCACCTGGACCACGTCACCCAGGCGGCACCTGGTGGGGTGGAGCGGGGTGAGGCCAGGCCCAGGGGCCCATCCTGACCCTGGGCCTCAAAAGCCTGTAGAAGACCCCAGGGGCGGGCCGGGGAGGGAGGTGGTGATCACCTGGTGAGGCTGGCACGGTCGGTCAGCACCAGCTCGTACTCTTTGCCCTGCTGGGCTTCGGCTAGCAGAACGGTGGGGGCAGCCTCTTCCCGGGCTCCTTTCGTGACTTGGAGCAGCTCCAGAAAGGGAGCCCCGGGAGGCAGCAGGTAGAGGCCGCGGGGCTGCTCTGGCCACAGGTTCAGGCCCAACACTCCTGTGGGGAGCAAGCGGCCGCCTCACCTGGGGTGCCGCTGCGGCTGCCAGGCGGCAGCCCCTCCCGGGCTCTAGGCGCCAGCCTCTGGGCATCTGACTCACTGCTGCCCTTCCACCCGTCCCTCCTGGCTGCCCCAGGCGCAGCCCACTGCCTCCAAGGTCCTAAGTGGAAAGACAGTGACCCCAAGAACTGGGGGTAAGTGCGGTGCTGTGTGAATTTGTGCAGGTGGTACGTAACCTCTAAGAACCCCAGCCTCTTCATCCGTGAGACGGACCGCTGAGTGGGGGACCGTGGGGGGACACGTAGGGGAAGATAAGATAATGTAGGGCTCAAACCTGCCCCCTGACCCAGCTCACGACTTCACGAGGACTCTTGCTGACCTCCGGCGGCCACGTAAGCAGGCGAGAAGAAGGCCAGGCCTTGGCACCACAGGGCCTCCAGGGCCGCCGCCGCCTCGGCTTGGCCTCCTGCATCCAAGGTCACCACCACCTGCAGCTTGGGCCAGAGCCGGAGGGCCAGTCCTCGGGGCCCCTGCTCGAGAGTCTCCCTCAGGTCAGCTGCCCGCCTGGGGAGGGGCACGCCTGGGCTCCCGGCAGCGATGGCCTCAGCCAGCTCTTCACCGTCGGCCTCCAGGCCCAAGAAGACATCCAGGAGTTCAGCTGCTGTCCCGGCTTCCAGAGCCCGCAGCCCTGGGCGCCTCAGTGCCTCCAGCAGCAGGGACCTGGCGTCCTGGGCCCCAGGGGGGCTCACCTGGGCCAGAGCTTGGCAAGGCCAGGGGAGGGGGCAGGGCCAGGGGGAGGTGGGAGTCACGCGGGCAGTGCCTCCAGGAGCCAGCGCTTCGGGGTAGGCCTTGCGGAGGGCCTCCAGGCCCAGCAGGGTGGCCTGCCGAGAGAGGAGAGGCGCTGGCCTGAGCTGGGGTTTCTTCGTCCTCTGTGATGGGTGGGTTTGGCTACAGTAGGGGTCTCTGGTGGGCTGGGCTCCCACGGCCTCAGTTTACCTGCAGAGCGGCCTCCCCATGGTACTGGGTTACGCTGGGGGACAGGAGCTGCCCCTGCCTTTCTCCCTCCTGGGCCTGGCTGGTCTCCGTCAGAGGGAGGTGACTCCTGAAGGTGTTCATGTCTGTGGCACCAGAGACACCCCAGTTTCCCAAGAATCTCAGGCCAGACTGCTGAGACCCATAGGGAAGGAACCCAGAATAAACCTGGGAGTTGGGGGGCTATCAGGGCCTGGCTGGGAAAACCCATCTGAGACAATCTGGTGTCTGGGCCCAGGGGAGCAGGAGCTGGAATCTCACTGTCCTGTGGGCTGTCTCTTTGGGCCACCTCCCGACACCCTGGAAACACACCTGTGCTCCCCATGAGGGGACAACGGGGACCCCGGGCTCCTCCCTGCAGACACCACCTCAGGGCCTGCTGCTGGCTCTGGCCTGCGTGCAGGGTGCTCTGCTCCAGCCTCCGCTGCTGCCAGGCGGCTGCCCAGCCCAGGGCGCCCCATGCCGCACGGTGCTGGAGGCGGGCAAGCCAGGACGGCCTGGCATCCGGCAACGGCCAGCGCCTCAGCAGGAGCGGCGGTGGCAGCAGCAGCAGCAGCAGCAGGGACAGCAGCAGGGACAGCAGCAGGGACAGCAGCAGCAGCATCTCTAGGCAGGTCCTGGGAGGAGGAAGGGAGCCGGGTGCTGGTACTAGGGGGAGAGGCGATGGCCTCTCCCTGCCCCCCACCCCACCCCCGGCCCCTCCTGCACACAGGGCAACCGAGGGAAAAGGAAGTTTGGGAAGAAGCCAGGACCCAAAGCTCCGGAATCACACTGACCTGAGCCCGGATGCTGGCCCTGGCCCTTGCGGCTGTCTGGCCCAGGGGAATCAGCCAGCTGCTCCGTGCTCTGCCTCTGCTCTGTAATGGGAATGATGACACCCCCCAGCGCCAGGGTCCAGCAAGGCCTAGGCACAGGCCCTGGCACACGGCGGCTGCTTAACGGAAGGCTTGTCTTGTCCACTTCCTCCCGGGAGCCACCCGACCCGGCTCTATGGCCTTCCTGAGCCCCGAGCAGTGGTCCCCTGCTCCACATGACCCCAGAAACAGAGGGGAAGTGGTGGGAAACTCTGCTCTCCTCAGAGATCCCCTCACAGTCCACCCAGGGTCCTGGACGCTCGGGTCTCGGGACAGAGCAGGTCAGGAGGAAGGAGCCATGACTTTAAAGGGCTGAGTCCAGACGGGAAGTCCTGTCACAGGGAGGGAGGAGCCGGGGTGCTCTTAAAGGGGCAGGCGCCTAAGGGCCCCAGCGCCTGGTGAGCCAGAGGAGCGTGGGCCTCAAGCTCCTGCGGGTGAAGGAAGAGAAAGCTGAAGGAGGGCAAGAGCACCCCAGAAGCAGCTTGAGCTGGGGTGGCATGTACACTACCCTAGAGCTGGGCAAGCTTGAGTACTGTTAACAGGCATAGTTTTCTTCTAATCCAGAAATCCTCTCCACCAAGGTAGTCAAGAAGACACGATTATTATTGACCAAGCATTCAGCCAGAAAGTATTGTACGTCCCTGGCAAGGATGATGCAAAACCAGAAATGAACTTCGTGCCCTTGTGTGGGCACGCAGATGTAATGCTCTACCTCCATGTTACCAAGGTCAGCGATGCCTTGTCTTCAAGTAAGAGGTCCTAACAGCAGCAGTTGTTACAAGCGGTTCATCCAAACTTGACCTAGACCACGGGTCCACTGTCTGTTTATTTTCTTGGCTTTGTCCCAAGGAGAGGCAAACTCCTATCAGTATGACAGGAGGTCGTCTTGCAACTTGGTGCAAGAAGCCCATTAAAGTCGGGTTCGCACCCTCCTACTGAAAAGTTTGAGAAGCTGTGCTCTAGAATGGGGTTCTTCTACTGTCTACCCAGCCTTGCTTGCACTAAAATTCCTCCCTCCTACCCTCCCCACAAAGCCAACAGTCATCTTCATAACATTTTCCTCACCTCAAAAGTGTAATATCCTACCCCCTTCCAAATCTCCTTCTAGCCCACCCTGACTTTGTTGCCACAAATCAACTTTCTGCCTCTATAGCTCTAACTATTTTGGACATTTTCTATAAATGGGGTATTTTATGTCTGGTTTCTTTCACTTAGCATAATGTTTTCAAGGTTCTTCTGTGCAGTAGTCAGTATTTCACTCCTTTTACCTGCCAAGTAATATTCCATCAAATGGCTATACACACCACATTTGTTAATCCATTTGCCTAGGATGAACATTTGGATCACTTCTGCCTTTTGGCGATCATGTATAATGTCATGAGTTTTTTATGCACAAGTTCTTCAGTAGATACGTTTTTGTTTTTCTTTCATAAAAATGGAATGCAATGGCAGGGCAGAATGGCTGGGCTGTGTACTATTCTTTAGCTGGTTTAGGAACAGCTAAACTAATTTCCAAAGTGACTGCACTCTTTTATTAATACATCTCTACCAGCAGTGTATGAGGGTTCCCATCTTTCTATATCCTTGACAATACTTGTTATTGCCTGAGCCTTTGATGATCGCCACTCTAGTGGGGTGTTGATTGTCTTGAGTCAGTGAAAATGTGCACGTGCATTTTCCTGATGACTAATGATGGTGTGCGTCTTTCCCTGTGTTCATGAATTACTTGTAAACAAACTTTGGAGAAATGTCCTGTCAGGCCTCTTCCCATTTTTAAACTGTGTTATTTGTCTTGTCATTATTGAGTTGTAAGAATTCTTTGTGGGGCCCTCCTTGGTGGTGCAAGGGCTTAAAGCACAGCACCATGAAGCTATCCACCGCCACTGCATTTTACATTATCCATGAGCTGACCCACCTGGCACAGCAGACCTCTCTTGTCTCAACCGCGGCTCCCCTCAGCATTGTATTTTGGTCAATCCAAATATTCTATTCCTCACTCTATCTCTGGTGAATTCTCTTACCACCTGCACCCCAGCTCTGTATGCGTAAATAAATCTTAAAAAAAAAAAAGAGCTCTTAGTATATTTGACATACAAGTCCCTGATCAGATAATAGGATCTGCAAATATTTTCTGCCATTCTGTGAGTGTCTTGTTTTCCTTCTCTTAGCAGTGGTTCTTGAAGCACATTTCTAATTTTAAAATTCAATTGTTTATTTTTATTTCTTTTGTTGCTTGTGTTTTTGTCATATCTAAGAATTCATTGCCAAAATTAAGGTCATGAAGATTTATCTCTATATTTTCCTCTAGGAATTTTATAATCTTGACTAGGTCTTTGATTCATTTTATAAAAAAATATATATATTTTGGTACCTACTTCAGCGGTATTATGTACATTTACATTGTGGAAACATCACCACCATCCATCTCCAAAACTCTTCTTTCCACACTGAAACCTAGCCTCTGTAGAGTAACTCCCCACCCTTCCTGCCCTCGGCTGCTGGCGACTACCATTCTGTCTTTTGCCTGGATACACTTCACTACTCTAGTACCTTATATAGGGAGGAGCATACAAATTTGTCCTCTGTCTCTCATTCTCTCTCTCTCTCTTTTTTAAAAGATTTATTTATTTATGCATACAAGAACTGGGGTACAGGCCAGACATGCTGGGGGTTAGAGTATTCACCAGACAGAATGGGGAGCAGAACAGATGACCTGACTGAAACACACTGCTGAAGTGAGCAGCGGGCAAGAAGACAGGAGAGTTTTACTGCGCCATGTGGGTCAGCTCCCTGGCCGGGGATCAAACTCACACTGAAGGAGCTACAGACAGCTTCACAGTGCTGCGCATTAACCTGTTGGGCCACCAGGGAAGCCCCTGTCCTCTGTGTCTTAGTTCCATAATGTCTTCAAGATTCACCCACATGGTATATGCATGCGCCAGAATTTTTCCTTCTTGTGGCTGAATAATATTCCAGTGTATACTACACATTCTATCCGTCTTTTCATGGACATTTGTGCTGTTTCCACCTTTTGGCCATTGTGAATAACACTGAGGTGATTCCTAAGGACTTACTTGGGTAGTGTAAGGAACGGGTTAGTGTAAGCTTGTGAATCTGTTCCCACTGCCGAGCCCCATACAAGATGAGGTCTCTAAGATTGCTCCCCAAAGGGTTACAGATGTGAGTAGGCCTGTAGTTACCCTAGCACAAGAATGATTTTCACAGATCTCTGTTTCTTTCCCTGATCACACCCAGCAGTTAAGCTACATGAATTGTTGACTGCTGTGTTTTTCCCCAATAATGTCCTGAGGAATAGATTGTTCCACAAACTGACCCAATCAAATTCTGCCTTCTTTGAAGGGATAGTTTCAAGGGCAGTGTTTGAAATTTGTTCTGAGCCCAAGAGTCCTCCCAGCTGTCTCTCTTCCCCTTTTCTCTCTAGCAAAATAACTAGTTACCTCTTTCCATTTCTACTGAAGCTATTGTCTTGTTGCCAGTTGCTTTTCACACAACTTCCACTGTGTGTGAGAGTACACTTAAGCTTGAGCTTCTCTTGCAAATGAAGCCCGTTCCTTTGAGGACAGAGATGAAGCTCTCTGGTCTACAGTTTGCCTCTGCCCTTTGGGGAAAAACTTCTGCCATGACCCTGGTGTTGCACAGGGACTAATGCCCCACTTCTGTGTGATGTGCTCACACACAAGAGCTGAGTGCTGGATAGGCACTGAGTGCAGACAGTAGCCTCAAGCTTTCTTGATCTGCCTCTTCCACTGTGGAACACCTTAGGAGTCTGAATACAGGCAGTAATTGTCCCTGGATTCTCAGCATCAGGCCTGAGGTAGAGTGTTCATCCCACAAGTGGAGACTGAGCAGGAGAGAGTCCACCTCTCACCTGAAATGCCCAGAACTTATGCTCAAGTACAGGTAGCTGAGGGCAGAATAAAGTGCTGCTGCTAGCCTTTCCCAAGAGGGCAGCCCTGTGGTGGGGAGCTGTGAGGAAACGGAGCACGTGTTCTGGACGTCACTGGCCTGGAGAGGTTCCGTCCTCATGAGCTGGGAGGCAGGAGGGAGTGGGTGTGAGCTCAAAGGCCACACTCTTAAAAAGAGTAATAACAATCTTCACCAGTTGCCCCAGAGTGGGGGCCTGGGGAGGGCCGGGAGCCTGCCTCACAGAAGTGCACTTCCATCTCCAGTGCTCAGCAGCCTGCCGAGTGCCCCTACCACTTCACACCAAGGTCATCAACTGTCCTGAGTGCCAAAGCCAATGGTACTCCCAGGCCCTCTGGGCTCCGGTTCTGACACTGCTGCCCTTCCTGAGGCTTCAGAGACACTGCGCTCTTCATTGCTCTCCTGCCTTTCTGTCTTACATCGCCCTTCATAAGCTCTTTCTAGCTGCAGCCCCTTAAAAATGTATCTCCCCCCTACCAAAAAAAAAAAAATGCATCTCCCCATGTCCTTTCCTCAGTTCCCTTTCTCACCTTTCTTCAAACATTCATGCTCATCTCTGGTTTCAGCATCACCTGAACACGCACAGCCCAGCTGCCTCCCTCTGCATCCCGTGGTCTCCGCCTGACCGTTCTCTGAGGTTTCATGACCTCATGTCTACCTGGACACCATCAGCTTATCTAGATCCTTACCAGAAGCTTCCCCTCAGCCTGCTCCCCTTCCCAGGCCTTCCTCCGCCATCTTACTGAGAAGTCTCTCTCCCAGTCATTTCCCTTCAGAGAACAGAATCATTCCAGACTCCAGCCCTGCTCTCCAGCACTGTCACCAGGTCTAAACGTGATGCTCAAGGCGACGTTCGGTGCCTAGTCGAGCCCTCGTCCCCTCAGCCAGGACTGTGGATGCACCCTTCCAGCTGCTCCTGGCCTCCCGCTTTGCTCTGGTCAACCCAAACCACACACTGTCTGTATCGTGTTTTTTTCAGTGAAAGTCTAGTCACGGTCCTGGCTGAAGGCTTTATCCTGTGCCATCACGCGCCCTCACGCTTGGGTGAAGCTCTCACGCTTAGGCCGGCCCGCGACCCCTGCCGCCCTTGCAGCCTCATCACCAGCACAGTCCTCCTCAAAGGTGTTCCTTGGGCCTGTCACCTGGGAACTTGGTAGAGGTGTACACTGGGCTTCCCCCCAGGTCTACTGACAAAAACGGGGTGGGCTCAGCCATCTCCCCAGAAAATTGTAATGCGCCCTGGAACTGAGACCCACAAATCCCCCCTCACTCCAGCTGTGTCCAAGTCCATATCTTTGCCTGGACGAAGGCCTTGTCCTTTCTTAATTATTGCTTGCCAGCTATTGTTTAAGGACTCCTGTTTGGCAATGTGCCTTTGTGTTTAACAAGGAACTCGGGGTAGTTTTAACAGGGCATGTACTGACATCCTGTCATCCTGGCCGTGGGCTCCCTGTCCCTGTCCCGACAGGGACAATTTCTCATTCCACAGACAATACCTGGCTTGAGGCAGCACTCTAAAAATGTGAACTTCGGGGGGGGAGCTTCAGAACATGGAGAGTGTGGCGCCAGAGGCTGGGAGGTAAAGATTATCCTCCTAATTTCCAAACCCAGGAGCCAGGAGGTAAGCGGTGCCCCCGCCCGGCCCCTCAAGACTGTCAGACTTCCCTGCCAGAAACTGCCTTTTCCCACCAGCAGACTGCAAAGACCAGACCAAACCAAACCAAACACAGGACTCAGCATTGTTCCTTCCGAGGAAACCTTTATTGTAACATAAAATACACAACGTTGTGACTGCCCCAAATTGTACACAATACTATTTTTGGTGGCTAAGTACTAATCTGCCTTGACACTAAAATATGTATCTGAAATAATTTCACAAAGTCTTAAAAAGAAAAGTTATAAAAAGTATACTTCCGTTTTAAGTTATAGTCAGTCTCCCCCCTACAAAACCCCGCACATACCACAGAGTTCGACATTCTGACGACGCGTGCGTCTGGGAGTGAGAGGGAGGCGGCGGTGGTCAAGGCTTGCCACTTTCTCCTCTTGGGGTTCGCGGGGACAGGGAGGATGGACAAGCAGCGGCAGCCAGCGGTCTCTGCCCACGGCCGCGGGAGAAGCCGGCAGCTCAGCACCGAGTGGCACTGGCCGCACCCGCACCGCGCACCTCCGGGGCTGCGGGTAGCTGAGGGCAGAATAAAGTGCTGCTGCTAGCCTTTCCCAAGAGGGCAGCCCTGTGGTGGGGAGCTGTGAGGAAATGGAGCACGTGTTCTGG